TCAAATATAGCAAGAGGTGGGATAGCATTCTGTAAAGCTTCTGTGGTTATTAACTATTTACTGTTGAAGAACAATATTCTTTGTCATCTTAGCTCAGACATGTCAAACACAAGGCCCGGGAGCCAGTCGCGGCCCGCAAAGTGGTTTCATGTGGCCAGCGAAGCCATCCTGGAAACAGTGAGGGAACGGCCCCCACTGCCTTGGCCCTGGCCCAGGCTGGCCGGGAGCCAATGTACAGTTTTGTGGTGGCCATCTATGCTTAAACGCATTCAGTCTTAGCTCCACAAGGCCATCTGGAAACAGCGAGGAACCAGCCCCTGCCGTACATGCTGGGGAGCATGCTGGGGAGGTGTCACCCTTTGTGAGGAATGAAGAAATGCACCATCGCCTGGAAGTGGCCAGCAAATGGCCCTCGCCTACTTCACATATCCAGCTTGATAGGCTCCAGGGGAGGGGTTTCGGCAGGCAGTGAGGCTCCTCCAGTGGACCATGCCTTGGCACTTGCCCCAGTCCCACCCCCTTCTGCCAGAGACCCTCAGATCTGTCCCACTCCTGTTCTTTGCATTAAATGGATTATGGACCTCTCCTTCATAGTTATCCTTACTGTAGAAAGCCTTAAATTAACATAATTCTACATCAGCGAAGGAACACAAAATATGATAAAACTGCTACTGCTGTTAACAGTATTAGAAACAGGTCTTTCTTTACTTTCAAATCTAATGCTCCCTGTCCATCTTTGATCACTTCCAAATATTCTTTAAATTGGAAATTTTTAACTTATATTACTATTTTTGTACTGCAGATTTTTCTGCTAATAATAGACACTTGAAACTAACTTCGTTTTAGCAAATATATAGTTAATGTATTTGAGCATTTTACATGGGAATCCCAGAGCCTTATATGGTCAACTTAGTTTGCACTGCAGTGAACTGAAGGCACCCATCCAAAGTGGGAGAAATTCCAGTTGCATTTAACCATATAATATCTGTTTTCTAATCTTCTGCATTCTAGAATTTAAAATGTAGGCATAAAGGTACATAGAAGAATTTTATGATTGCACATAATCATTAAATACATAACACTATTGCACAATACCAAGTTTTGGAAAATGACATCACTTTGCATGGAGATTTTTGATCCAATTATCTCAATTCCAATTTTGTGATTTTGGCCTGCCAATAGCAAACTGAATGACCGTTTATATTTATATGGAACTAAATCATTGCTTAGTGGAAAGTTGAGTTATGTGAGCCTAGTAAAATATTATACTCCTGCATTCCCATTCCCCTCTTCAGAAATTTTAGTTTCATTTTCAGAGTATTTCAGGATTTAAAATAAACAATGTTGATTAAACAAGTTAGACTCTCAACACATTACTTGATGTGGGATGTACAGTATTCAGAATTTGAGTAAGATTTGCTTTAAATCAGGATTCTAGTTTGAAATACAATATAATGTAAGATGAGATTTGTCTTCCTTGAAAAAGTTAATACTCTGCTTACAGCGGATATAAAAAGTCTACACATCCCTATTAAAATGCTAGTTTTTTGAGATATAAAAAAATCAAACCAAAATAAATCACTTCAGATTTTTTCCCCATCTTTAATACAACATATAAGTGTATGGTTCAGTTGAAAAACAAACTGAAATCTTTTAAGGGTAAAATAAAAATAAAAACAAAACAATAATGTGGCTGTATAAGTGCGCACAACCTCTTATAAGTAGGGATGTGGCTGTACTCAGAATAAACCAATCACATTCAAAATGATGTTAAATAGTAGTCTATACATACCTGTCTTCAATTTAAGTGACTCTGATCAAGTCCATAATAAAGTTCAAGTGTTTTAATAGGATTTTTTTTATATTTATTCAGTTGCCTTTTACAGCAAAAGCCATAGTGTATTTTATTCTAAATAAATGTAATCTCTTGATTTTTTTTGAACCACTTTAAAAGTATATTGCTGGTTTTGTTTCTCTGGGCATTTTAATTGTACATACAGGTGGTCCTTAACTTACAACCACAATTGAACTGAATTTTTTTGTTGCTAAGCAAGATAGTTGTTAAGTGAATTTTACGGCCGTTCTTGCCACAGTTAAGTGAATCCCTGCAGTTAAGTTAGTAACATGATTGTTAAATGAATCTGGCTTCCCCATTGACTTTGCTTAACAGGAATTTGGAAAAGGTGATCATATGACACTGAAACACTGCAGCCCTCATAAATACATGTGCCAAGTGTCCGAGTTTTGATCACATGACACTTTTTCAGTGCCTTTGTAGCTTCAAGTAGTCACTAAATAAATGGTTGTAAGTGGAGGATAATCATGTTTGTGATATGATATGATTAGAATTACGTCATGGTTTTTCACTATCCAAATAAACCAGAAAGTTGTGTTTGAAATGAGATTTGAATATTTTGATTTGCAAGGCTAGGTGTTGTCATAAGCTGAGTTCCTGGGCTAGGATGACAAAAGTATGCTTACAGACATTTAAAGCAAACAAATGGAAAACAAAATTAGGGAAACTGCTTTAAAGAATTACTTGTCAGTTGTGTGAAATTCAACTCATGGATTCTTAACTATGGTTATTAAAAATTATAGTTTAGTTTGAATCTTGAATTGATGGTTTAAAGGCAAAGAAACTTGTGACTTACTTATGACTTAATTTTTAAACTGTAACTTAATTATTTTAATAAAGGTCGGCAATAAACATGAAATACTTATTAAGCAAATTTAAATAGCTGCCCATCTATCAAAATGAACTCTGGGTGCACAATTGCAAAAATGGATGCCTTTTTTCTCTCTGAGTAAATTAATTGTATAGAGTTTGTCATTTTCTTCACAAAAAGTTTTTGTCATTATTTCAAAAGAATTGCTCATTTCCTAAATCAAGCATTGAGATTGCTAGAGGCAATAGATTCATTGTGTGCCACTAATTTAGGCAATTTGGGGGGTCCTGAAGACATTAGGATGAGAAGATAACAGTTTAACATACAACATTGTTGGATACCTGCTTTAACTTTAACTGAAGGGCTAAAGAACAAATAATTTCATTTAGTGTGTTTTCTAGCTATGTATTTTGCAGGCACTGATTTTGATAGTCATAAGTCTTTTACTTTAAAGAATTCCTTTGTGAGGTTTGTGTCTGCCTGCTTGCGTGTTTATATGTCTATCTCAGTGCATTTCCCAGTACACAGTGAAAATGCCAACACTAGAAGTTGGAATATGCAGCTATTGTTGGAGAATTGTGTTGGCCAGTATCTGGGCACAGACTCCTCACATTAAAATATCTAAATATCTGTACTGAAATCTACAAAATTATTAGTTTTGTTTTACAAAAAATAAAAACTGCCAAATACAATGAAAGCTGGAAATCTTTTTAGATTTAGAGCAATTTTAAAAATAGGATGAAGGACTTGCCAAACAATCATGTTGTTGATCTTTATGTAATAAGGGGGGGGGGAAGTAAAATAGAATTTCAGAATTTGCTGAATACAGTGGTGCATATGTAGAAGATTTGAAGAAATGAAATTTTAAAGACAAGACACGACAACATCTTAAATTGTATTATCTAATTCAAATTTAAAAGCTGGTTAAGTTATTTTATTAACTTTAAAATTTAAATTTGATTTAAATTCCTTGAAGGAAACTTGACTAAGAACACAGATTTATTATTTTACTTGGGTGCCACTAATTTGGTATGGTGTCCTTTTAGTATGTGTTGCTTTCTCTTACTCAGTGATGGCTTAAATCTGAACATCTTTCTTTTAAAATCTGCAAATCGCCCAGAGTCACTTAGATAGTGAGATGGGGTTTTGTGAACTTAATAAATAAATAAAAATAAAAATTAGTTATAGAATCTGGTTTTTTGTTTCTTGTCGACTTTCAAAGAGTGAAGAATATTAGGAGAAAAGATATAATGGATAGATTATTTGAATAAAGCTTATTTATGTCTAGATTTAGATAATTTAATCTTACTCTCTCATGTATATTACAAAGTGGAGATCCCAAAGGTGCTTTTTCAAGAGGCGACTGGAATTTCTTGTTTTTCTTTGAAGACGATTCACTTCTCATCCAAGAGGTTCCTTCAGCTCTGACTAGATTTATATCCCTTGCAGACAGCTGGTCATTTGCATTCTTTTAGAGAGTCGTTGAGGCTACTTGGATGTTTGTCTGTGTCCTCAGGATCATCTGAGTAGTGCAAATGGGTGTGGAGCCTTCTTAGAATTGCTTGTGGAGCTGTGTTTTCTGCTGTGTTCCTGTAGTCTATCATTTGCGCTTCTGTTTAAGATGGAGACAACACTGACTCATCCTCAGTAGCCTGCGTCTATGTTCAACAGCGAAGTGACACGGAGCAGGAAATATCCTGCAGAAAATATCCTGCAGAAAACACAGCTCCACAACACAGTCCTTTCAGCAGTTCCAAGAAGGCTCCACATCCATTTGCACTACTTAGGTGACCCTGAGGGCACCTATAAACTTCCAAGTGGCCTCAACGACTCTCTAAAAGAATGCAAATGACCAGCTGTCTGCAAGGAATATAAATCCTTCCATTCCCCACCAACCAGACACAGCTGAAGAAGTTTCTTGGATGAGAAGCGAAATGTCTTCAGAGAAAAAGAAGAAAGTCCAGTTGCCTCTTGAAAAAGCACCTTTGGGACAACCATGACCTGGATGACTGAGAATTACAAAGTGGAGACTTTTTCCAGAATATTTTAAATTTCTAAAGTTGCTATTGAGTTAACAGAAATTACCAGTCAATTACATATAAAAATAAGTGGCAGGTTTCAAACTGAACTGGAACTAGCAAGTCTTTTTTAAAAAAATCAGAACAAATAAAAGGAAGCATAGATGAATTCATGCATCATGCATCAATATGCTATATGTGTAAACAACTGCTTATTTCGTTTCTTTAGTGATAGACAAAACTCATTTTTCTCTGTTTTTAGAGTGATATTTGGCAAATCTCTTGTACAACTTTAACCATTTTTCTCTGTTTATAGGCTTGCATAGATGATAACATAGATATGGTGAAATTTCTTGTGGAAAATGGAGCCAGCATTAATCAACCTGACAATGAAGGCTGGATACCTCTACATGCGGCTGCTTCTTGTGGATATCTTGATATAGCAGAGTAAGAAAGTTCATCTTTATTTGATATAACTTTCTAAATGTTTGGTGGGCTTTTAACACAACGAATGTCAGTTAAGAGTTAACACAAAAATATCCCAGCAGTCTGTCAGGTATGAAAATTTGGGTCTTTATAGCAAGAAAACAAAGCATTCCCCCCCTCCCCTGAGCATAGAGATAAAAAGTACAATTGAAAATTTATATTTCTATGTTTGCAATGAATAACCAGATACAATAGTTTTCTATACCTGAGGAATTTTGTATTATAGAAATAAATTTTATGCTGTTTGTTTCTCTTATACACTAAGAAGGTACTGCTATTAATTCTTATATTAATGGAATCTGATTATAACTAGGTTTAAGGAAGAAGCTATTGGACAGACGAGGAATGTGAGGTCTGAAATAGCTTTGCACAAAGTTTAAGCTTCTATGTTGTTTTTGCGTTGGCTATCCATATGAAGAAGAATAATGGGTTGAGAAAGACAAAGTTTCTAAGCACCTGGCCTCTTACATTTCATACAGTAAACTAAGAACCTGTTTGTCCTTAAAAGGAATTGATCCTAGCAGTTTTCTTTTTCATTCTCTACTTCATGTTTCAGAATACTATTTGAGCAAGCATATTTATAAGGATGGCATTTTAGCAGATGTAAAGTTCAGCTGCAATGGAAAATATTGAAACTTACAGATAAAGATATTCTAAATTATTTCTTTTCCCAATTATTATTTTGAAATAGGCCCATAATATTTATTTTGATTAAAACAGTTGGACTTGGGGCTGCTCTCATTTCTTGATTTGATTTTGGTAATATAAATAGCCCTGTACTTACGACCATTAATTTAGCAACTATTTGAAATTAAGATGGTACTGAAAAAAGTGACTTCCAACCAGTCTTCACACTTGTGTCTATCACAGTGTCCCTGCAATCATATAATCCAAATTTGGGTACAACATCTTAGAGTCACATGATTGCCATTTGCAGTTTTCCCAGCTGGTTCATGACAATCAAAGTCAATGAGGGAAGGCAAATTTGTTTAATGACCATGTTTCACATAACAACTGTGGCAGAAAGGCCATAGAATTGGGTATGACTCACTTGCCTTGCTTAGTTCCAGTCCTAATTGTGGTTGTAAGTTGACGACTATCTGTATTTATTTCATGCTGTTTGATAAAAGAGAATAAAGCTCTTTAACTGGTTTAATGCCATGTTTCAATTAACGTACGTATTCTAAACTATTGCTGTAATGGAGTGAATGAATACCATATTATAGTTTCATTTAATTTGAATATGAGTAGAATATATAGATCAGTTCATTTGCAAATTCCTTCTGGAAATATGTCACATGTTCTATGATAATGTGAGGCCCTAGTAATATAAGCTAATTCTATTACGATTGGAAATCTGGAGCACAGTTGTGGGGAAAAACTGATTTAGGATTCTTATGCAAGTAAATAATTTTCGTTTACCCTAGGTGGGAAATAAAATATGATACTGACACATTGACATCTGTTGACAACAGGAATTGCATGGGAAAATCCCATCTCTCTTGAAAGCGTTTCTAGAATTGATGAGAAATGGGGAAGCATTTCTTCAGTTTTCCTTCCTTGAAACTTAGCATGGAGAATGTGATGAAATCCTATCCTTTATTAATTTGGTATTAAATGGTTGAAGTTTTCTTACCACTCTTGCGCCCTAATTCTGTACTTGTGTTTTGGACAGACCATGTTTGAAAAATTGTTATTTCTTTTAAGGATGTTATCAATATTATTAAAGGATAGTCAAGACAAACAATTTTAAACATGGATAGGAGCTTATCTGGAGAAAGATGTAGGGATCTAATATGAGAAACTTTCTCTTATCAGTCAAACTCAATTAATTTCAAATGGTTATATGTTACTTAAATGCCAATTTTAATGAATTAAAACATTTGATACTAATTACTGAGTATTCTTTCAAATTGGGTACTTTTCCAGAAAGATTTAGATTTATCTCTTTTTTGTGACAGTTCAAAACATGTCTGCTTGGAAAAATACAAACTAATAGGACCACTTTGAGGTTATGTTACCATAGTTGACATTAATTTTATAATCTTCCAATGTTTTATAGTCTAATAGGGACAAAGAATAATGAAAGAAATTCCTTTAAAGCCTTCATATCAGTTTTTTGTATTTTAGAGATGCAGAAGATAGTTATTTTTAGTGGGATGTTTTCACAGTTCAGAACCAGAGATTTAAAACCAATAGAAGAGAATATCTGTAGCTCAGGGATGAAATAAAGGGTCCTTGGTATTATCTGAACTTGTTGTTTCCTTGCATCAATAACATCATCAGAGATTTAAAGCATTTCATAATGGTTTAAAATTTCTGGAAACTTTGTGTCTCTAGTTATTCCTCTACGGGGAATAGGTTCCCTTTCTGTTGTATTTCTGTCGTGCTATAGAAATGTTTTTTCATAGGCCTTGAAATGTTAAATTCCTGAGCTTGATTTATCTGGTAAGACATAATAATTTCTGCTTTACTTGCTAGTTTTATTTAATTTTGGCTACCCTTATTACCTATTACTTTCTCCAGCACTGAGATGGAGACTCCACCATTGGGTAGTAGACTGTATTCCTGCCCAATCAGATCAAGTCAGCCAAAGTTGCCACGCCCGTCCTGGACCGTGATCCCCAGTCTTTGACTTGATCTTGCCCAGGACAGACGTTGCAAGTTTGGCTCTAGGCAGGTACAGTCATTGGTGGATCTCCTTTCCCCTCCCAATT